GTGGTAATCATTAACTATCATAAAAATAATTATGACTGCTTGAAATATGCACATCATTCCCAGAGACTAAGATACCATCCTAAGAGATAGATATTATAAAGGACTCTATAAAGTCTGTTAATTCATTATGTCATACACAAAAGTTGCCAGTTTAAGGTAAACATTTTTTTCTAGATGCCATATTTCAAATATTTTCTCACTCAAACTGAAGAATAAAAACATTGGCATTGGAATGTAAGCTCCATGAGGACAGGGATTTGTGTTTGATTCATTGCTATAACTGTAGCAGTTAGAACAGTGTCTATCTGATGCACAATAGAATCTCAAATGACTCAAATACACTTCAAACCCAAACCTGATTCCCACCACACCCTATGCCTTCTAATAAAATGCTAGCCATTGAATACCAACGAGATACTTCACAACCTGGGAAACCCATAACTCCAACATTTCTAGTTCTTTGTCTTAAAGTATTTAACAAAAACTATTTACCTGTTTCTCAGACATTGATATTCTCCTTTTTTAATTTAAGTGTTTCATTCTACGGTTTTTCTAGATAATACTAAAATCCTGCTTTTAAAATGAATCAGCACATGAACATAAATACTCTATAAAGGGTCCAAAAGGCCTTTTAAAATAGGCTATTTTGATGCATTAAAATCAAGATGGCAAATAGGCACATGAAAAGATACTCAAAATCATATGTCATTAGGGAATTGCAAATTAAAAGAACAATGAGTCCTGGCCAGTGTGTTCAGTGGTTAGAGTGTTGCCCTGCACACCCAAGGGTGGCAGGTCTAATACCCTGTCAAGGGCACAAACTTGGGTTGCAGGTTCGATCCATGGGAGGTAACAAATCGATGTGAGTTTCTTTCTCTCTTCCCCTCCTTGCCTCATTCCCTCCCTCCCCCTCTCCCCCTCTCCCTCTCTCCCTTCCACTCTCTCTGAAAATCAATGGAAAAAATATCCTCGGGTGAGGATTAACCAAAAATAAAATAAAAAGAACAATGAGATACAACTACATACCCATTAAAATAATCAAAATCTTGAAAACTGACAACAAATGCTCACAAGAATGTGGAATAGCAAGAACTCTTATTCATTGCTAGGGGGGTTGCAAAATGGTACATCCACTTTCAAAAACAGTTTGGCAGTTTCTTATAAAACTAAACATACTTTTACCATATGATCCAGCAATCATGATCCTTGGTATTTACACAAAGGATTTGAAAACCTAAGCACACACAGATGTTTATAGCAACTTTATCCATAATTGCCAAACTTAAAAGCCACCTAGATGTCCTCTAACTGGTGGATGGATAAATAAACTCTGGTACATCCAGACAATAAAATATTATTCATCACTAAAAAGAAATAAGCCATCAAGCTATGAAAAGATATGGAAGAATCTTAAATGCATATCACTAAATGAAAGAAACCAATCTGAAAAGATTACATACTGTGTGATTCCACTATATGACAATCTGTAAAAAGGCAAAACTATGGAGACAGTAAAAAGATCAGTTGCATGCCCAACCAGTGTGGATCAGTGGTTGAGTGATGATCTCTGAACCAGGAGGTCATAGTTCAATTCCTGACAAGGGTACATGCCTAAGTTTATGGGCTCAATCCCCAATAAGGGGTTTAGGAGGCATCCAATCGATGATTCTTTCTCATCACTGATTGATGTTTCTATCTCTCTCTCCCTCTCCCTTCCTCTCTGAGATCAATAAAAATATATATTTTTTACAAGATCAGTTGCCTTCCAAGGGTTGGGGGTAAAAGGAAGAGATGAAGCACAGAGATGGAGCATACCAGATTTTAGGGCAGTGAAAATACTCTGTATGACATTATAATGATGGATACATGTCATTATACATTTGCCCAAACCCATAGATTGCACATCACCACGAGTGAATCATAATGTAAACTATGAACTCTGGGTGATTATGATGTGCTAATGTAGGTTCATCAATTGTAACAAATGTACCACTCTGATGGGGCATTCTGATCATGGGAATAGCTGTGCAGGTGTGGGGGTGAGGGACATATGGGAACTCTGTACCTTCCCCTCAGTTTTGCTGTGAACCCCAAACTGCTCTGAATAGTCTATTAAAATATATATATTTAGTAAGTATTATATATTTCAACTGAAAAAAATTCCTAAGATAATTCACTTCCATAACAAAGTAGCAGGTGTAGTGGTTTATTTTTATTCCAAGGAGAGGAAAAAATTAAGTATTTTTATAGAACACTTAATCTAGATAAGATTTTTGCCCTTCCTGAAACATTATGGTAATCTTAATTGTATGCTTATTAAGGAGAACATCTGACTGTTACTATAGAAACTACCTGAGCTGGTTACTGCCTTCATGATTTGAGCAGTTATACCTGTTGGACCACTTAATCCTGAACTTACATATAAATATTTTTTTAAAAATGGTTAATGTTGCCCAGCCGGTGTTGCTCAGTGGTTGAGCATTGACCCATGAACCAGGAGGTCAGGGTTCGATTCCCAGTTTGGGGCTTCATCCCCAGTAGGGGGCGTGCAGGAGGCAGCTGATCAGTGATTCTCTCTTGACATTGATGTTTCTATCCTTCTCTCCCTCTTCCTTCCTCTCTCTGAAATCAATAAAAACATATTGAAAGACGAAAGAAGAGAGAGAGAAAGAGAGAGAAGCTAATATACCTACAGTGTAGCTCAGTGCAACTCAAAGTGAATGAAGAATGTGTGTGCACACACACACATATACATACTCAGACACATACCACCACACAACACCAAAGTGGTTGGTAAAAATTAGTGACTGTTGGCTGCTCGCTTTGTTTTAATCTCTTCTAATTACATTTCCCTGTCCAGGATGCCTTTCCTGTTTATTTTCACCTGTAAAAACAATATTGGAGCCCAGCTGGTGTGGCAGCTCAGTGGTTGAGCATCAACCCATGAACCAAGAGATCATGATTCGATTCCCTTGGCCAGAGCATATGTGCGGGTTTCCAGTTGATCCCCAGTGCAGGGCATGCAGGAGGCAGCTGATCGATGATTGTCTTTCATCATTGATGTTTCTGTCTCTCCCTCTCTCTCTCTGAAAATCAATAAAAACATATATTTTAAAGAAATAGTGGATTACTCCAACTGTGTTATGTTAATGGGGAAGGGAGCATTTTGTTTTGCTGGGCTGAAAGAGGGAGCTTAAAGCTCTGAGATTTACTACAAGCAATCTGCTGATCCCCCTTTGCCAGTCTTTTTGCAAGCAGATTTCCAGTGAACATTAAGAATAGAATCTCATTCGTGCAAAGGGACTGTGCCTTAGGTTCTTCTCAAATTACCTATACCTCAAGAGAGCATGGGTTCTAACACCAGGAAAGCCCTCTCCCCAACTCCTAAGGAGCAGTCCCCCAACATACTCAGATTTAATCTACACACCTTCTCACACTCCATGCATTACTAACAACATAAGCTTTAATAGGTGCCCAGCTGTGTGGTCTGTCACTTATTCCTCTTTCAGTGGAGAAGTAGTGACAGCATTTAATAAATTGATGATGCTTGGGAGTATTCTGAGGGCCTGATGTAATAACCATGGTTTGTGTTCGAAGGCACTGACTTTTTCTCCACCTGGTCCAACTCAACTGCTCAATAGCAGTGGCACAACTGTCTACATATCAACGACTTTTTTAATTTATTGGAGTGGCATTGGTTAATAATATGATACAGGTTTCAGGCATACAATTCTACAATATATCATCCGTATATGGTATTGTGTTTACCACCCCAAGGCATGTCTCTTTCCATCATCATTTTCAAGGACTTTTTAAGGGACAATCAGCCATGCTAAATTCCGTGAATACTAATTATATCTTCAAAAATCCTGAATTCTAAAAGGTGAAAGATTACAGAATGGCTAAAGTTATGCTCACATACAGGTATAATCATGCTCCAGCAGTATAAAAAATACCTACAAACAATGATATTGCAAGTGAGCCATAAAACCCTCAGTGCGCCTTTGGAATTAGATTTTAAAGTACTACTCCCCACTCTAAATATTCCATTGATGTTAACTTCATATTGGCTATTGCTTTTAACAAAAGTTTCATTTCACGTTCTGGGCCTGATATTAAGAATCTCATCACCACTTAGTGCCAGTAACATCAAAAGACAATGTGCTTATCAAGTTGTCTTTCTCCAAGCTCCAAGGAAAGCACAAAACAAGAACAGCAGCTGCTGTGGATCACCCCCTCCTTGTTTTCCAGGTTTGGAACAGCCAAAAAGAGGTAGCTGTGACACACATTACTTTCCAATTCTATTTCCAAGTCCAAGCAATGATAATGTGGGCAATACAGCTGTCCTCCACACTGGACCTCTGGGTCCACCTCTAGCCCTAAATTGGAAGCTAGCTCTGCCCTGCCAGATGTTCTCTTGCAGCCTGTGTCCACACTCTGCAACTTGTCAATATGGCTTTCCAGTTTAATACTAATTTTCAGAAATATGTTAGTAGGCAATATATAGGGTAGATATATACATAGAGAGAGGGGCAACATTTAGTCTTGGGCCCCGGGCCCTAGACACACACATCCCACATCCTTCAAGTTCAAATCCCAGCAAGGCACCCCAAGTGCCCACCCCTTCCCACCCACCCAGGAGAGGGAAGGGCAGGAGCCTGGAACAGAGGTTAAACTAGACACCAGCCAAAACAAACACCACTTCCAGAACAAGGCAAACTTTGGGTTTAGGTGGCTGCAGAGCCCCAGAAATGGCTGGAGGAGGGGAGGGAGTACCAGTCCGCCTCAGGGGAGGAGGACGGTGAGCGCAACCAGCACTGCTGTGCTGCAGAGGAAGCTGGTGTCCCCCGGGAACAAGGGCTTCGTCTCCATTCCCGGCTGCGAAGCCCCTTCCTTGCCACCTGGCTGAGGCCTCCGGGTCCCTGTGAGAAACCCTGTCGCCCCACCCCTTGTCCCTACAGAAATGATCCCCACAGACCCGCAGGGGCACGAGGACCTACCTGGTGCAGCGTCTCAGCGGGAAGCTGCGACGCCCGAAACAGGTCGGCCACGGGCCCCGCGGCTGCGGGGGCTGCGCTGGGGGCGGGCCGGGAGGCCTCAGGGGGCCCGGACCCGGGGCCCCCGCTTGCAGC